GAGTGAGACGTGTTCAAATTAGCTACTTTACCAGCTTCTAGCTCTATAGCGCGTGGGCTGCACGACTTAGCACTAGTTGCAATCGATTTCTTGGGATGGATTTGTATATAATGAGCTAAAATTACACCTATTCTGAAAAACTCGAAGTTGGTGATGTGATTCGAGGGCTTTTAGTATATCAGATAAAAGAATTGCTACTGGAAACAATTATCGCAGGGAAGACGAGATGGTGAGACGATCAAGTACGCCTGCAGATTGCTGTCGCTTGACCCTATGGAGAAAGCCCGTGTCGCTCTATTATATAATCACAAAGCTCGCAAGAAGGCAAAGAGGCAAATGAGTTTGTATGCACTCCTTGGCAGTTGCAGATAGGCTAAATCGTTCCAGCATTGTTCGATTGGCTATGGTTTTCAGCCACAACTATCATGTTGAACATTCGAAGCTGAGCTGTTTGCCACACATGGGACGAGAACGACCCTCATTGGCCCAAGGCCGAAAGGAAGCGGATATTACAAAGTAATACATTTGCGAATCGCTTGTGGGTAAGCTTGGCTGAGCTTGTGCAAATGATTCTTGGCTGTGCGATTCGCTCAGGAGGATTTCAAAAACGGACTTGTGATTCCTGACTGCATCGAAAAAGCATATCTGCTATAGATAACGAGGGGATAGGTAAAGACGAGTGTAAATGCCATATACCGTGGTTTACAAACGATTGGCCCATGCCCCACTAGTGTAACGGCGCAGGTAAGACGAGTCAGATCTATATCGATAGGAGGATTACTCAGAGGCACATAGGAGTGCGTGGGACAGTAGAAGAGCGTTGATACAAATAGACACACTTGTGCGAAAGGAGGTCAAGAATTTACAGAAAAACTATGGCTCCCAGCTTGTACTTGTCTACACGTGCACAAAAACAAACAGTGCTCGACCCCCCAAGCCAGCACCAGCAGCTTATCCTGGCCGCCCTGCACAAAATCATAGAAGATTTTGGTGAATAAAAGACAAAAAAGAAAAGCTCTCCAGCGGGGAATTGAACCCCGGTCTCCCGCGAGCTGTCAATTGCTTGACAAGCGGAAATACTGACCACTATGTCACTGTGCTGGTTGCCAGTATGTCCGCTAAATTTCCTGTTTTGGGTGACGCATATCCGTTAATTTTTCTGCTTTCAGTTACTGCAACGTGAACCCGTTCTGGGACTACAGCCTGCCAAGCTATACTAAACTACCATTCCTAGGTATATTAGCTTTTAGACAGGAGCTCGATTCTCACCCCCTTGTATGTTGGGTACCTTAGTGTATTGGTGGCGCTTTTTGCCTTAAAGCAGCAGCGCGGCGTTTCATCATCAACACTGACTGGCTTTATGCTCTGGCAGGTCCACTTTTAAGGTCATCTTTTAATAAAACACGTGATGTCTGAGGCCGCACGCCTACCACACACCAGGCACGGTTAACTGTTGACCAATCATGTCGTGACTCCATCATGCCCCAGTGGCCATTCAAGCCAGACGCTCACTCTTACAATCAACTCCACGATCGTCTACACGATGCCAGTTCGAAGATCGCGCCGTCGAACCGGGTTCCAAAATATCGAGTCGGCATGGGCACTGCTCATAGATACATTGAACGACATTGAGTTATCACAACGCTTAACGAAACGCCATGATCAGCGCATTGCGAAAGTTACGGCAGATGAGAAGACAACGAGGTCGGGAGCCTCTCTTAAGCAACACAAATTTTTGAAGAGAGTATCGGCTATCAACCCTGACTTTTATAAGTTGTGTGTTGTCGCTTTCTCGCAGAATCAAATCAGCTTCACGAAAAACGCTATACTTGACGGATTGGTTGAAAGAATTAGGGGAGAGCGCGATGGCACAATCATTTCTCCTGCCACGCGATCGCTTTTGCATCGTTCGGAAGACGATAGGCCTATACCACTACCCCAAGAGACCATTGAACTACCAAAAACCCCGTCAGAACCTTGGGTCGAGTTAAGATACGCCGAAAGAGAAGGGATTGAAAAGGTTTTTGGACAATATCTACTGGACAGGATTGAGAACACGGATCTGAGACAAAACTGGAGAGCAGTCTTCATGCGCCTGCCGATGTGGCCACAAGATCTTTCTGGGCCTTGTTTTATGTCATTGAACCTTTGCGAAGGAAGTGTTAAAGAGGTCGCGATGGCATTATTCAAGGTAGAAGTAACTTGGAGGACAAATGCCTTTTGGATCGTTCACGAGAACGGATTGTTGCAGATTATTCCTCATTCTCAGTATACAATGAAGGGCGTCTCGGATGAGGACATTATCGCCGTTTTCGGGGCAGATATACATGCTGCAATCACTACGTGTAGCATCAGAGCGAACGAGTTGAGAGAAGGGGATAGGAGAACTAAATGTGTATCAATTACCTTTTCAGAGAAGAGGGCTGTGATTAATCTGATATTGAGCGTATCGGAAGGTGTCAAGATCCAGAGTAAGCTCAGTGTGTCCGCCACATCAGGATAAAATCTTCTTCAATCGAACTCTACGAATTTTCCTTTCGCAATGTACAACTCCCATCCTTCTTCAACTATTATTCCTCCATTTTCATTATGAGGTAGCCGCGTACGTTTCTCCTTGCCTTCCTTATCTTTCTCAAATACAGTAACACTGCTATTTCTCCATTCTACTGTTTGACCTCGACCCGTTACTACCGTGGCAACATTATCCTTTACATGTGTAAAATCTATATTTGCGTTAGGCGGCTGTACTTTGTTGGCGTCGAAAGTCTGGAAAACATTAGTTACGAAATGAGAGGAACAATCCTACCTACCATCAAGACACGATGGTGAACAAGAAGAGCGTCGAGCGAGTTGACTGGAGAGTTGGTGCTCACGAGTATATTTCGTGATGTGCGTGTGCGTCTGCGTGGCGCCGATTGGCACTAGAGACGCAGTACAGTATCGCGTTGCGCAAAAGTGTGTCCGGATCGGGGTGCTGCTCGGACAGTTGAGCACTTCCTCGATGGCGATCGCAAAGGTGCCCTATATGGAAGGCTTGGATGCGATATTTGAGAGGCTCGAAAGTTTGCAGACTGTTGATGGTTGTGGAGGGGTTGTGGAGGGGTTGTGGAGGGGTCGTGGAGGGGTCGTGGACACCTACAATCTGTCGCGTGCGTTAGGCACTCACACTTTTGGGCCGTAACGCAGACTTGCAAAGCGAACTGACTTTGCACTGTCTCAACCGACGCTGCTTATACTAAATCACAGACGTACCAGTCTAGTGTACAGAACCGAACGTAAAATTATGGCCTCGCTCCTGCTACCTAACGGTCGAACAGTCGACCGGTCGATGCCCCGCATTATCACGTGATCAGCTCTCGTTCGGTTATACCTTTGATCATTCTATTTTCGCGATAGTTGCATTGCATAATACAAGAGCATGTGACCAGTTAGAGACTCGTCATTTAGGATGTTGTGCATGAAAGCTTGGACTAGATCGTGTGCTAAAGCATGCAGTAAAACGTGCACTGGAAGGTGCAGTAAAACGCGCACTGGAGCGTGCAGTAAAACGCGCACTGGAGCGTGCAGTAAAACGCGCACGTGCACTGGAGCGTGCCCTGTCGTACTTTGGGGCGTGCAGCTTTTACATCACATATGTCACAGCCACGAATGCAGGAGCATGCATAGAGGTGCCTGTGGATCTGCAAGCCCTATCATATTCACATGCATCTGTGAAGTTGGAGATGCAGCGGCATAAGACATGGGTGTTCAAATGCTCGCAGCCTACCACTTCTGGTGATCTCTCTTCCATCATGTTTTTTGTAGTTGCCAACACCTAGAGACACACGACTTTTTATTCACAATTCTGAGACCTCTCTTCTATGTTTTCATCACTGATTAGTGCCTAATAATATGAGGAGCTTTGAAGAAGGTAAGTCGTCTTTATATGTCAAGAAAACCGCTGACAAACAGTCTTGATAGATCCAGATCCGCTCGTTGCAACCATGAGCTTATGCTTTAGCTTCATGACCCTCTGTTACTTCAGTGCTTTAAACAAGACGATCTATTCAACCTCGGCTATCCTTTCCGCATTCTCAACGGTGTACGCGTGGTATTTGTTTCCTAATGGACATAGGGGAAGATACCTCCCTGTGTGCCTCCTGAGCATGAATGGTGCAGCTGCCTCTATACACTAGTATCAGTTTAAGAGAGTAGCCAAAGGAATATCGCACCCTCTTCGGCGTGTGAGCATAAGGTAGTAGTTACGGACTCCTACTGGTATCGCAGCTGGATATCATGAGCGCGAACACGAAATTACGCCCAATAACTGTGTTACATCATTAGTTGCAGTCTGTGGGCTAAGGAGCGGTGAGGAATAAAGATGGTATACCTATGTTCGCCTACCGGTGAGTTGGAGGACCTTTCTAGTCCATGCCGCAAGTGTACTGGCCTCAAATGGACGAGGCTGAAACTCAGGTTTTCGAATTTTCCATAAAGTGCTGTAGCTGGGAACAAATTTTACAGATCACCACTTCTCTATAATACAACTTTCAAGTTTTAGCAGCCAATCACCGCGATGCCAAGTTACGTCATAACGCTCGCTTCTGGGTCTGACCCTGCCACGTCATTCATCACGCAGAAAAACACCACCGAGAGTCCCAAGCACGCAACAAAAGCAAGAGAGAAGATGCAGTCTGTTGTTGAAATAAGTGAATCTACAGAGTTTGGGGATTTAGTTTTGAATATGAAGGACGACTTAATACGGCGATATACAGGAGGTGTCGTTATTCCCTCAGGCAGATCTCATGTGACTTTCAACATCGACCAATACAAGGATATTACGACACAAATAATGCAGAGATATGACAAGGTATGGAGTAGCATTTAAGTGTTTTAACGTTGCTTACTAGTTCAGGATACATATTCACATACCTTCGGTGCTGTCTTCGGGCCTGGTGCCACTATTCTTAGTGGTCCATATTCATACGTGATTGTGGTCGTCGCGTCACTTAATGGGGCTATGTATAAGGTTAATGGACAAGACCCGCAATCTTGTAATCTGATACACGCTCAGCGTGTCGAATGCACCATCCAGGTAACTTCTGGGCAGCTCGTGGCTATAGTGTTTGCTTGGAGGTCGTAGACGGACGGGTAGTCGGTGCATGGAATGCTATTGATCACTTCTTCGGACCAATTCGGATTCAATGACATTGAAGCACCCTCGGAAAAGTTTGTGTTGTGAGGCAAAACGTATGAAATTCTGCCATCATACAACGGTGGCTGTATCAAAGGTTGAGACTGTGCCTGTCGGGGTCTCTTCTTCATACCTAAGTATTGTAAGTTAATTCATTGTAAATCCCATGGAAACTACAGTACTTACGATAATATCCACTATCTTCTTTTTCGTCCACATTGCACATCTCTTCTCCTTCCCGCCTCTTTCCAGTATGGGTTTGGTTTCGGTGAAGACGGCAAAGGAATTTATCTTTGGCTAAATATTTTTCGACTCGATTCCTTACCTCGGCTCCAGTGCTGGAATGCTGAGAACATTTCTTATATAATTCTATGAACCTTTCTCGACTGCAAGGGCCTATCTCGGCGTAAGCGAGTAAGAACAGGAAATCAAGCTGCTCTGACGGTAACTCGGTGACATCGAACGAGGTTTTAGCATGTTGAATGGCCTCCCTTGCAGATCTGGAGAGATTCTGCTTTGATCGATTTCTCTGGCTATTCATGAACGCATGCTCCCAAGTTGATAAGGGCTTCTTGATCCTTGTCCAGAGTTGCCATGTACCTGCCTGCATAACAGTGGTCGAAGGTATATTCTGAATCATCTTGACATCCGCTGCGAACCGGTGTGCATCAGAGATTGAATTGAGTTTGAATTGAATTTTGGTGCAACTTTCGGGAGGGATGTCGGGTGCCGCAAGAACAATTCTGATAGCCCATGTTAACATGGACTCGTCGCTTCTGGAAAAGTCGAAATCCATGCTGGGAGATGCCGACGTCATCGGAAAGATGGAAAGGCCACCGCCGAGGTAGATTAACGCGACGCAAGTAGTTTGGGAAGTTGTGTCAAGAGGACGGGTCAGGCGTGGCCGTACTGGATGTCTGGGTGGCTTGGGGGGATGGGTGTTGAAGGGGCGCGATCACTAGTCAAGGGGAGTCGCCCCCTGTTATGTGCTGAGAACTGACTGCAGAAAAGTCGACAAGGAATAGGGTCGGCCAGCTACGATAAGCTAGGATGCAGGGAAACTATTCCAATTGGCGGTCTAGCGGCGCTTGACTGCTTTGGATCGAAGTGCCCCCCCTGTCATGGTCGACGCTCTTTACCCGACCAAGGTATCTCAATCATATGTGACAGCCTCCCGACCCCGGTCTGAGCCAGAGGATGCCTTGCACAGTCTGGGCTGATCGTTCGTAAATGTCTTATGCATACATGTGATGCTAGCGGGCGTTCCTGCCCATCACGGCAAGCAGTCTCTCTCGGTTAGCTGCATCATCACACGGCTTGCCCTAGCAGTCGTATGAAAATCCTCTGATCTGGAATAAATAAGGTGGTGGCTACCCCGAGATGTCGATTATATACCGATTCTCTTCACAACATCATGTCGAATGCCGCCATCATCACTTGCAGTGTCTTTGTTACTGCCGTCAGAGCACCTCAGGCTGTTCGCTTGGTAGTCCAAAGCTCCGCTTCACCCGCCATTTGCCTTGCGTTCGTTGCGTACATCCTTCCAATTATGCCCTGCATAGCATCTATCATACTTGCCACTCAGGGACTCACCGCATATGGTTTGCAGGTGCACGTGTTCACCCTGTATAGCCTTGCGTGGATCGACTGGGTATGTAAGGCAAACCTCGGCTTTTAGTGTGTCTAACCACTATTAGATGTACATTGACAAATGGTTCGCGGGCATGACCCAGCACGAGTGGTCCGAGCTACCGCGTCCCAAATTATCACAACAATGGCTTTGCCGTATTGGCGTAGTTATAGGATACATCGTCAGCGGGTGTGTGGTACTGTATCTCCACAACGCGTACGCCAACCTTGCTACTTTGTTAGTGTTTTCCGGTTCATACGTTTACTTGTCAATACAGCCTTGGCCTCAAGCATTCCAGCGTGAAGGCATGGCTTGGTTGCGTCACTATCAGATTGCGTTCACAGTGGTCTTAGTCATGGCTTCTATCGCATTGAGCGTGGTCTTGATCATTGCTTCTACCGTATCGACAGTTGGAGCCATTCTTTTACAAAAGATCGCAGTATCCTTTCCCACTTGGCTCCCTATAGTAAGATGATCGGTCCCCAATCTGTACATCACTGATATATCAGGGATTTTGTTTATTCCACCCAGGAACAATTCGTTGTATTAGCACCATAATAATGAGTACGTGCGAGACGATATTGTGTACATGCGAGAAGATCCGGCGCACAAAGCCAACGCAGAACCACTTTGGCGTAGGAAATTCACCATATGGCTGGAGAAACGTGGGAGGAAGTGAAGAAAGCATGTGGCATAGGAGGGTGGAGACCTTGGAACAACTGCTCATTGTGTTGGGTGCAGAGTCGGACGATAAGAAGATCGGCAATGGTGTCATGATGCGTATGGCAGATACAGACAAAGCTCTATTCTTGTTGTGCATTCAATGCTCGGAGCGCCTCGACTTTTCTTCAACGAAAGAGTTCTTGAGTGCTTGTAGCGATGGCACACTAGATGGGTCTCGGCTTGCGGAACCTCTTCGACATCTGGGTTCTAGCCACATCAAAACTGCTGAGTTCGCCGCACTTTTGGTAAGTGTGCATGCAATCCCTTTGAGATATAGCTGACATATCAAGAATAAGTTGAAACGGACGCACAGTGCTGTGTTGGCAGAAGTCTCACATTGAGCGTGATGAGAGGACCTGTAGTTTTCATGTCTATGAAGGAGAAGAACAAGCTGTTATTTACCATTTGGATTCCCGTTTCTCGATGCTATTAAAAGAAATATTCAGCATGTTTTAGATTCAACAAGCCACTCGTTGTAAGACAACAGCCTTTTGAAACATGTGAGCTGATATTCGCGGCGATTGGGCTACTAAAGAGCGCTATTGACGTGTGTGACTGGCGCGAGGGCTCCAGCGCTTTGGTTCGATCTATTCAATTAGTGCTTTGTGATGGTGGACTGGATATTGCTTGCTTGAGGATGGAGATGGGCTGTGCACTCCTTGCCTACCATGCAGATGCTGAAGCACGGATGAAAAAAACTCTGGGCAGGGAAGGTAACAAGGCAACGGACGGTGCAAGGCATGTTATAAGTACTCCTCCATGTCTCCTTTTTCTCAGCAGCTGCGATCACCACCTCCTCTACCAATTGCTCCTTTTCTATCTCTTCAGAATATGCTGCCGCCGCCTCCTCATCCTCGTCGTACAATGCATAATCATCACCGTCGTACGCTGCCTTTTCATCTTCGTCATCCTCGTCGTACCATGCCGCCTCCGCCTCCTCGTTCAATGCCGTCTCCGTCTCATACTGTGCCGCCTCCTCCTACGCCAACGGCACCTTCTTCGACTCCCGTTCCTGCAACCGCGGGATATTCACACACCATACCGCTGCTGCCTCCTTCTGGGATACCACCGGAGCTTTTTGACTACGCAGTTGGCTGCGCTGTCGACTGTGCTGTTCGTCATGTTGTTAATGATGCTGTTGATCATGCTGTTAACCGCGCTGTTGACCGCGCTATTGACGACATATACGATCTACACGTTGGCCGACAAGATTGGAGCGAGCATGGAACTGTCCGTCTTACTTCAGTCCAACATGCAATGCTTTCCAAAACATCCCCTTCCCAATGGAAAGGTTTCGGACCTATCGATATGGAGTTATTGGATCTTTCTGGCCGTCTTTGTTTCACACAGCATTGCGGGGATAGCCCCGCTTCCAGTTTCGTGGAGAACCTTTTGCGCGTTACTCAAGACATGGCCGGTAAGACCCAGGAAGGAAGCTCTTTGTACTGGAATCACAGCGTCGTTTTGTTCCTGAACAAGCGCGTTAAGGTCGAAGTAGATGGCAAGTCTCATTCTGGATTATTTGTGGGTGCGACCACGCTAGAAACCCCCGGAGGACCTCCATTGCCGTTTGGTGTTTACAGAATTCAACTTTCTGGATCAACGGAGTTGATTCTCGACTTGCTAAAATCCGGAATTGACGGTACTTGGATTCACGAATTGAGCGAAACAGCCAATGAGACGGTGGATAATGAGGGATTTGAAGAGATGACAGATTGCTAGTCTGGTCGTCACGGAAAATGTTCATTATGTGGTAGCCTATTGGCAAATTGTCGCTTTCTCAAACCCTGCCTTCTCCTCTCTTTTTTGCTTCCTTTTCTCTTGATTAGCAAGAATCCTTCCAGAGTTAGTTTTCCTAGGCATCGCACAGCTTAATACAAAACGTACAAAGACTCCCATGTCGGATCGTTAAACTGATTTCCTAGTTCAAGCTGGTCTCTCATCGCCTCCGTCAGATTCCGGATGCGCCGCAGATCGTATAAATCGTCCCCAAGTTTGGAACAACTTGGGAACAAAGCCCTACCAATAGGTAGACCCTCAATAGTGCAATAGGAGAATTTCTCTGCCAGTTGGTCATCTGAAAGCGAAGGTTTCTCTCTGAGGGCAGCCTACTGACGTTACTTCATTTGTAGATACTAAGTGAACCGTTGAACCTACAATAAGCAGTGTCATGCGTGATACGAGCACTTCTGTGACATGATCCAGCTGATATTTTTCATCCAAGTCCCCTGCTTGCAATTTCTTCTGGTTTTGGGACGCGCCTCGAAGTGTGGAGGCTAGAACCCATTTTGGAGAAGGATTGGATACCAAACGATAGTTAGACTTCTCACGAATAGATATTCCGCCGTAAGGACCAACGATCTCGCTGGGCTTGATGTACGAAATGACTTCCCGGCAGGCCTGGTGGGCGACAATCAATTCAGCGTCGGATGACGACATGGCGATGATCTCTGACAAGCAGGTTGTTCGTTAGACTCCACTGTATATATAGCAGAGAAGGATCTACGATTCTGGACACACGCATGCGGGGTATATCTGCCTCTAGACAATGGCATAAGCAAAGTCCAGATGCATAAGGGGTTGTGTAGAAGAGCGTCATTGGTTAATCTCTACGCGCGGACACAGGCCGTGCTTTTCGTGCCCCTTCCTCCCTCATCCGTCACCCACCGCTTCTCGCCTCTTGCCGGGGCCTGCAATGCCCCATTTCCGGCTTAATCCTGTGACCCCTGACATGTTAGCAGACAGAGATGGCGCGTCGAGAGCTAGGATCAAGGGTGGAGAGAATAGTTCATGGTTGCGCTTTACTGTGACAGGCGTCGTACTAGCTTGTGAACGAAAACAACAGTGGGGCGTAACACCCGTTAGAATGAACGAAGACCAAAATCCCTGGTGTGTGGCGGGATGCGGCCTGCCCGCCCTTCCGTGCATGGCTCGACATGCCTCACTCCTGCTCAGCATCCTGGTTGGGGCCAGCGGCTGCCGCCTCGGCAGCCTTTGCCCCACCCTTTCCACTAGCTGTATGTAGGATGTCAGCCACTGTTGAGCCTTTTGGCATGCCACTGCACCCACCCTTTTCCCGCTGGTTTTGGATTGCGCGCGCCATGCGCCAACGAAAAACGTCGTATCGCACCTCGGGAATATCCTCGGCTTTCAGTTGAGCATTAACACGCCCGTACATCTCTTCGACATCATTGGCTTTCACTTCAGACCATTTGATCCCTGGATTGTCTTTTACTAGTGCATCAATCTCGATTTTGGTGATGTACTACCAGTCAAGATCAGCGTCTACTTTGATAGAGTAAGAGTATTCTGCCATACGTAGAACCTGTCCCATTGCGGTTGAGTGTGGCCGGCGTCTTTCTGGGCTTCACGTTTTGTAGCTTTTTTCTTGAGTCCCCATGCATCCATGACTTCTATGCGTGCGGCAAACTGACGTCGGTCCCGGTTGGGTAGGTTGGGTAGGTTCGCTAGATTTGTTGGATGGCGCGGGGCTTGTGCGTGCTTGTGGAGCTCGACTAGTCCGAGCTCGTTTGGCCCCGACGGTCCGTGCGCCCCCCTCGGTTCCCCAGTCGCACGGCTGCTATCAAGCGCCACTCCTGCGTTAGCATTCTGAGACATTCCGACGTATCGAATACAGCATACTGGACTCTAACCGATTGGAGGCCAGTTCGGTTAATCAAAGGTGGCATTGGTGTGGTGCATAACCAACATCGGTTCGAGATTGGGCCAGGCTACCCCCCTGCGATTGCGACGATCTGATTATGATCCTACACTTGTTCTATGCGTGGTGCTGGCCACATGCAATCATCGCCAAGTACAGGTCAGATGAAAATGCCCCTGAAAAATCGGCATGCATTGACTCTTGGTTGCTTTGATGCTCATGTTCAGCCCCCCAGAATCAGCTTGCCCATCTAAAAAAAGACTCTGAGGCCCGGATATAAAGCTCAGGGTCTCGCTGTATCTTGTGAAATGGGCACCCTCATCCTGAAGCAGTTTTCCTTTGCATTATCAAAAAATTTACCAACACTCCAAGCGACACACGGAAGCAGCCGCCATGCAGGTATATCTCTCATATCTCGAGGCTGAGCAACGCGTCAGTACTTGGAAAAGCATAACGTCCAAAAGCATCATGGAATTCAGTAAGTAATGAGAGACTGCCGTTTAACCTATGCTAAGGCATCACAGGTAGCAGTGAGAGTACAATGGATTCCGACCGGCCCCCTCGACCCCTGCGATCAGCAACCAAGAACAAGAAAAGAGCTATGACTTATGGGTGCTGGTCCCGATTGCACGAATATGTTGGAAAAGCCGCCGGCCTCGATCATGCAGAATCGGAGTCTTTATCGGTATCGTTGATTTCTTCCAAGTGTTGGTTGAGTTCTATGTTACTAAAATCCTGTAGAAAACGGTAGAACAACAAGTACGCCAACTTTTAAAAGAAAGACCTGGGATACCCTGGAAAGATTACGATTCGAATGACAAAGATTGTTGTTTGGAATCAACAGAAACAATGCTTAGGGTAATAACCAAAAAGACAGTCCCACGGGATAGGCTTGAGTGGATGATATCGCCGCTTATAGATACACTAATCGATGCTCAAGAAGAGAAAGTGAAGGGAAAGAAGGCAGCAGGTGAGAAAGAATCGCATTATTCGCACTAGGCTAATGACGCTTAGCTATCCGTGTCGACAAGAAGAATCCAGGCGTACTACCAAGCAGGAGCCCGACAGCACCCAACTCTTCATCTGCTATCCATAGCACGCACTTTGATGGTACTATGGGACTCGAAAACATCTTTTGAACTTATCTAACACTTTGCAGCTACTAGTAACACGAAAGCCGATACTGACAAGTCCCACGTCAAAGCCAAACCATACGACCCTGTTAGAGACCTTTGAACAGAGGATGACCATCTCGAAAGATCACAGTCTGATTTCAATCCCTTCCATCATATCACCATCTAGATCCTCTTCATTATCTGTACTTTTGGCGTCTATGCCGCCTGGCATCCCGCCTTCGAGGAAAAGCCACGGTGTGCTTCCACGATCTTTTGGGTCTAATGGCTGCTTTGTATCTGGATGTAGCCCTGCTTTCTTGTGCGCCTCGAGGAACTTTGTCTTTTCTTTGTAACCTTCTTCCAATATAGCTAGTTTTTTCTCTGCGTACTTCTTACCGGTCAATTGAATCATTTCCGTTCGAGTCACCCAATCGATGGTGTTATCAATGTACATGATCTTTACGTAGGTATCTGGCCGACGTGTCCTGGATCCTGGTTTGTAATCCTCGGCTCGACACATCACTACACATGGACCTATTGCCTCGATTCCGTTCGTCTTGAGTTCGTTCTTCCTTTTCCAGAGATCGAATGTGAAATGGGAAGATCCGTCATCATAGTCTTGGAGTGCTTCCGCACCGCCAGGACCTAAGTCGCTTCCTCGAATAACTTGGTAATGCTCTGATTTCTCAGTGCCAGCACGGAGTATAAATCGACTGAATCTGGGGTTGCCAGTTCGACACAATCTGGTAGCGACTAAATCTCCAAACTCTGTCTTCCCGTCGCTATAGTCAGGCATCTTTATAACATCCACCTCGCCGAATTGCATTGACAGATAGTCTTTCTCTTTCGCAGAATATTCTGGCTTCGAATTTGCCAGGCGTTCGCTGCTACTAGGAGTTTCTTCAACTCCTGTAGACGGAGGAGAACGTATACTAGATTCAGTTAGCGACGGCTCAGTTGTGTTCAAAGGGTTGGAACTATACTCCATCGCTTCCATCTTGCCATTCGTTTGTTTCAGTAAGCTTGGATCAAGGCTTTTGGCAAGGCTCTGACTTTTGAGCGTTTTTATAAGGTCAGTCCGGGTATGATTTAGCTTTTCCTGCTCACCATTTATCCACTGTTGTTGCATCCTCTGGAAAAAAGCTAATGGCAGGCTGTTTGTAGTGGCTTCGATGCCTTGCTCAGTGTTCTGGCGTTCTAGAATTGTATTCTGGCTTTCCATTGCGTTGATGTGAGTTTGGAGTTTTCCAGCACTAGCAGAAGTCCGGTCGTCTATATCTATTACGTTGAGAGCCTTCCTCATCTCCGGCACCGCTATAGTCCACGCATCCTGCTGATCGGAAGTAGGCCTATTCAATTCTTCAATAGTGCTCACATACTGCGTACGTGTTTTTTCGTTCCTGTTCACGATAGTATCGAACATCTCTCGAGCATGTTGAGTAACCACGCATTGTGCTGGAATCTGGTGTTCTTTCAAAAACTCAGTCAGGATCGCAACGCCTTTTACTAGTGATTCTTGCTCTTCAGCAAGCGCTTCCTTCTCTTTCTCACTCCCGTTCTGTTCCAATTCCTGCACATCATGAAGGGCAACGGCAGCTGTGCTGATTAAACCGTGCAACGTCTCCACCGGAAATCTATACTCCTTGAGCAGATTTTTCTTCTCCCGCTCAACGTCACCAGCGTCACTGTAGTTTTCTTTCACAATTCGCTCACATTCTTTCTCAATTCGCTCTTGAATCTTCTGAATTGGCGCTTTTTGCGTACGGCCCAATGGTTTTCCGTCGTTGCCCCACCATGTCTTAACATTAGTGTATAGCTGGCGCCACTGTCTTTCAATAGATGGTGGTCGCTGTGTATTGGATCCACCATGGCGTTTCTTTCGGTTCTCTTCTCTGCCTTGAGCAAGAAGTTTTTGTCTAGCAGCTTCCTCTGCCATAATTTCTTTCTTTTCTTCTTCCTCTTCCTCTGCTCTTTTGGCTTTGGCGGCCTCGCTTCTAGTCTTCTCTTCTGCCGGATCATCAGATAGCTTCGTAGGCTGCGGTTTGGTAATAATGACAGGCTGGCCATCACGGTCCACAAAACTCTCGGCGTCAGGATCCCAGTCGAAAGGATCAGAGTCGTCATTGTGGGTAGCATCCCTATTTGATTTGGGAGCGATCTTGTGATTTCTTGCCCGTTGAGTGCTATGAGAAGGTCCACTTCCACTGGAGGCACTACTGCTCTCCCCACGTTGGGATGGCTCTTCCTTCTTGCCCTCATCCCTCTTATCCTCTTTCCCTCCACTCGTTTTAGCATTAGCTTTGCCGATATGGGTTTGATGATCCTCGGATGTCATCTTCTCGATGTTCTTGGAAGCTACTAGTGCCATGGCTGATAGATTTGATATAAGTTTGATGTTAGTGAAGGATATTTTTCGATTGCGTTCGTTAGTTTGTATCAAGACCTGCTTGAAGATAGTTCTTGTGTCTAATACTTAGTGCAAACTTAGCATGTATATACTACTTCGTAGGATACACAATACAGGTTTTGGTTCCCCAAATTAGGTTCAATAAAGTGTAGAAGCTGGTAATTATAGCATCCTCAGAACGGTTTACAGAATCAAGACCGCCCTTGACATTTTATCTTGGTCAAATAAATTACTACTCAGAGCTTATAAGAATAATGACTCCATTTAGAAGGCCCTAGCCGCTATTGAAAAGCAACTTCCTTCGTCGCAATGCTCGCCTCACTAAAAGTCATGCTGTACTGGGTGATGCTGTACTGGGTAACCGCTGCTAACCAGGTGCTGGGATATGGCATAGCAGATTCGTACCCTACATTAACACCACACCTCCCATGGCCTATGGAAACTTCACGACCTTCTCAAAATATCGGTTCTTCTGGCTCTCAACCTTATATGCACTGGAGCACTGGTACTACTACACACCCCAAAATATCTCAGCCAACCTCTACCATTATTGTTGGTGATAAAGGGAAGCTGGTCTTCTCTCCTTCCTCCCTCAACGCTTCTATTGGTACAACTATCGCATTCAACTTCCTCGCACTCAACCATACCTTGACGCAAAGTCAGCTTCAGGATCCATGTAGAAATGCCAGCGGATTCGATTCGGGGTTTAACCAATTCAATCCAACCAATATCAGTGGAAGGTTCGTGGTTGAGTACACAGTCACTAGCGACGAACCACAATGGTTCTTCTGCGCCCAAACAGCCCGACTCGCGCACTGCCAAGCAGGCATGGTTTTTAGTCTTAATCCCCGGGGTCTGCATGCTCAATTCGTTTCTAATGCGATGGAGAAGATCCCATCAACGACTTCATCACATGAGCACGCATGTAGCTTGCCAATATCATCAACTGCACCCATCGCTTCTGATACACCAACCATGGCTAATCGAACCGTGCCCCTTCCAACGGTTGCGAGACCCACAGTTTCATTGCCAATATTCTCAAGCATCGGTAATGGCGTTGTTAGGAGTGACGTGATGATGTGGTCGCTCTCTATAGTTATTGCAATGATGTAGATAGTGTCTAAGTAGATGAGAAATGCAAACTCCTCACTCCTAGAACAACAAGATAGCATTTATGTTGTTATATCCCTAACTATTGTTTTCATATCAGTGCCCTATAGTCAGCTAAGATGGCGTATGAATTAACGCATTATGAACCGTTTGTAGCACCACTACCTAAACGGGGAACGAAAAACGGGATCTAGTGTCACTAAATTTAGAACTGAATTTTGAACCTCTGACAAAGAAAAAAGTCGTTTCCTATCACGTAGCTAGAGCTATTGTTGTCTTGGCCAGCTTGGCGGCGTCTCAAAAGCACGGGCTATTACAGCAATCGCGATTGGTGCATTACCCGCCTTTCCCCCTCCCACGGCTTCCAGATCGACGCCTCCCCGTCCAATAATTGCCATTGTCAGTCTTTGCTGTCGCTCTGCCCCAACCTTACTACCGCTCGTAGTTCTACTTGCCAACTATGCAACCACTTTATAAGCCTGTATTCCACAATCCCATCTTTATCCTACGCCGCTCAATTGATCTTATCTCCGAATCTTAATATTGTAGTCCTGATTAGGACAAAACAACATCAACACCAACTTCGAGTTTTTCAGAATAGGTGTAATTTTAGCTCATTATATACAAATCCATCCCAAGAAATCGATTGCAACTAGTGCTAAGTCGTGCAGCCCACGCGCTATAGAGCTAGAAGCTGGTAAAGTAGCTAATTTGAACACGTCTCACTCACG